GTGGATGTTCGATTATTTATATTCCTTTGCACATTGCATTCAAAAGCTGCTTTGCAATGTGGGACTATGTAAAGCACTACTTTTTGAACTGTTAAAAAGACATACATTATTTTCAAGGTTCGATCAGCCATCCAGAAGCTGCTACAGTCTGTCTCTCTATATCAGTGGTTCTCAACCTTTTTAATGCCGTGACCCCAACCGGTCGTAAGTCGAGGACTAAACCGGTCGTAAGTTGAGGACTACCCAACCGGTCGTAAGTCGAGGACTTTCCCTGCCCGGGAGCACCGCACATGCGTGGTTCCGCCCCCTGCGCCGGCCGAGGCGTAGCTGGCAAGCAGCAGAGACGGAGCAGGCCGACCACCAGCTGGCCCAGCCCAAGGGAGGTAAGGCACCCGCTGAAAAAGGGAAAAAAAATGGCGGACAAAAAAATGGCGGACAAAAAAAATGGCGGACAGCCTTGCTTGGCGACCCCCGTGAAATGGTCAATCGACCCCAAATGGGGTCCCGACCCACAGGTTGAGAACCACTGCTCTATATGCATGTGCATGTAGGGACACTTTGCAGGCACACTGGAAGGGAGAGAGTTGGGAACAGCTTCTGCAGCAGCCCTATCACCTTTGCAAATGACATGGATGCTTGAAAAGGCAAAAGTAGGTGCTTCTGCATGTTGAAAGGTGTCTCTTTTGAATACTTTGCAAAGCCCTACGGATTATAACATAAAAAGGAGAAGAGAAGCATGGGGTTGTTTTTGTCTAGGGCACATGGCAAGGTATATTTCAAGAGAAAACGTGTTTGGATGCTAGAAGAAATACATGGTTATGATTGATGGCTGGCCAGTTCCAAGAAATCAAACGAATGCCATCTCTGTTGCCAGCAAATGGTTAGCAGAAGGCCTTCTTCCTCCTCTTCCCAGCTGTTCTATTATTCTTCAGATGGTGCTTTAATCACTAGTCACATTCTGGGATGGTTGGCCAAGTTTTTCTGAGTCTTTATAGTGCGTCGCCCCCAGGGCTGATAGGAACAAGAAGAGTGGGGAATGCATTCTGGATGGTATAAGCAAAATTTGACACAGCGGTCATTTCCTTATAATCTCAGCCTGCTATTTACTAGCTACTTTGAGAACTTTTTGGTGATCCTCATCTCTTGGGAACTTCTGCTTTTAGAATGATCAAGAGGAGGACTTGTCACTTATTGTTCAAAGCAACTGGGCAGGAAGAAAGGAAAGCAGAATTCAAGGAGTGCAGCTTCATTATCACTCCATCTTGCATAGATTATTCCAAAATCCATAATTGTATAATAGCACTTTAATAGCACTGATCAAAATGACAGAAAGTCCTGTATTTTTTTGTAATTGCTCCAGATTATAATAAGAATTGCCAAATTTTGGTTGTGGGGAATATGTGTGGGTAAGGGCATGGACTGACTGAATGGGACTAACAGTACAAAATGGGAAGATGTGAGTGTGTCATGTGTGTTAGCAGGGCTGGGATCTTCCAGGAATTTTCCTGATTCTGAGGAGTGGGTGTGCTTTTGCTTTATTTTTACAATTATGTTAAATCAATTTCAAAGCTTCCATTTGAATCTCTTTATTTCCTGCCTCAAAATGCTAGAAACAATTTTTCAGCAGTACTGTTATTGCTGCTAACATTTGGCAATGGAATCAAAGGGAATTCTGGCAAGCACACACACACACAAAAAGAGTTCAGGGGATACAGGCAGGTGTCCACCTGCAGGTTGCTGAGCCATGGATTAGGTGATACTGAAAATAGGAAATGGGAAAGAAAGAAGTTCCAAATTGGACCAGGTTCACAGCCATGACTTTTTAAATCCAGTCTCAAAATAGAGACGGTAGACAAATTGGTTTCTACAAGTGGTTGTTGGTAATATCAGATGACAGCTAGGTCAAAGAAACACTGGTCCTGTTTCTGAAAGATACAACATTTGACTTTATCCCAGATTGTAAAACACAATTGGCAGAAAAATCGACTTGGTTCACTTATAAAGATTTGATTAAACCAGTTTTCTTTACCCGGGTATTTTCCAGATAGGTTGCACTCAACTCACAAAGCTGTTAAGATATAATGAACTGCACTAAAAAAGGCTTAGATAAAAATGAAGTGCCAAATATGCACATCATAAACAAACGAGCAACCATAAAAATGGATTCTGCTATGAAGGAACACAGAGACAGCAGTTTATTATTTTGCTTTGTTTTTAATCATCAACATTTAGCTTATTGGTCTTACCTCTTTCGAAAGTCTGGTAAAAAGGTCCCCTCCTCGCAGGAAATCTAGTATGAGATACAGTTTTCCTTCTGTTTGAAATGCTGCAGTGAAGAAAGTGACAATGCTGAGTTTTTGATAACAATACTCTACACACAGATTGCAATTGAGTGTGCTTAGATGCAGCTAATGATCTAATCGTTATTATGCATAATTCTAATAAGATGGGTTCAGACATTGCACCTAACAATTTTTTTTTCTTCCGTTCAATGGTGATTTTCAGACACTGCCTGGACAAGATTTCTTGGCAAGGTTTTGCAGAAGTGGTTTGCCACTGCCTTCTTCCTAGGTGAAGAGAAAAATGATACAGGTAATCCTCAACTTTCAACCCTTTGTTTAGTGACTGCTTGAAGTTACAACAGCACTGAAAAAAAATGACTTATACCTGATTTTCACATTTACGACCTATTGCAGCATCCCCATGGTCACATGATCAAAATTCAGGCACCTGGCAACCGGCATGTATTTATGACGGTTGCAATGTCCCGGGGTCATGTGATCTCGCCATTTGTGACCTCCCCAGGTGGTTTCTGACAAGCAAAGTCAAGATTCACTTAACAATTGTAGTCATTCGCTTAATAACTGTGGCAAAAACGTCATAAAATGGGGCACAACTTATTTAACAACTGTCTTGCTTAGCAATGGAAACTTGGGACTCAGTTTTGGTTATAAGTTGAGGACTACCTGTCAAATACTGTCCAGCTGACTTCGTGCCTAAGGCAGAACTAAAACTCATGACCTGCCATTTTCTAGTCTGATACCATTACATCAAACTGGCTCTGGCTCTTTATTTTAACTATGGATTTTTGAACAAACTATCATAGAGGGCTTTACATATAAAATTAAGCTTTGTCATCATAGATGACAAAACATAATGCCTGGTTTAATAGTTAATGATTTTGAACAGTACAGGATGATATATCCAGTTGAAAATGCCCACAGAGCCATGTGAATTCTATATTAGAGAAATCTTACCATAATGAAGTTTTACAATGAAAGGATGATTCACTTCAGCCAAAATGTCTCTTTCCATTTTTGATCGTACGCGATCTCGGACTACAGAAAAAAAATAAAATAAAGATATCTTCAGATGTAAGAGTCTTGCCTTGTGATTTTTGTGGGCTGTATGGCTTGCCACTTAATGGAGCATCATGAGCAAAAGAAGATGTGTTTTGCATACATCCAGAATTTTTGCAGGATTAATGTTAGCTCCCATTGCTGGACAGAGTGGAGACAAGCCACTTGATGCTCTAGTCAGAAGAACAAAAGTTGTCACTACTTGAACAGTTTCCTCCTAAAATTATTCTTTCCTGCTTTTTGTAAATATGTGCAATATATACATACAGAACATTATTTCTTGCTAGACATGCCCCTTACAGCAATGATACTATTAGAACAGTAATCTTTCCCACCCTTTGTTAAGTTGATAAGTTAATTGTCTAAAATGAGCTAAGAACAGCTTTTAAAATGAGATATCCACTCAGCTAAAGAGAAATGGCAATGAAATACTAAAATATCACTTTGCATTTTAAATACAGACGGGAAAAAAGAGAAATGGAACTTTTGAGCTAATCACTCTCTGGAGATCTATGGACTTTCAGCATGTCTACTCAGGAATAAGTCTTGCAGAGATGAAGATTTCATGGGTTGCAATCTAATTGGAGTAAACCATTTGATACAGTTATGTCTTACTTTAGAATAATAAATAAAATAAGTATTAACTCTGCTATACTTCTTCATCTAAAAGAAATAATGAACACATGGTTTCTGGAATTCTCATTGCCTGGGGAAACAGGAATATATAATGACATTAAATCATATCAAAAGGTACCAGCTGGAGGTCACTTCTAAATACATTTGAGTATGGTTTCTGATCTAATGTTATTGGACAGGATGACTCATGGAGAATAATTTCCTGGATACAGTCTTGATAAAAACATTGGACTTTTCAAACAATTAGTAGAAATGAAAAGTCAAAAACTCGAGCAGAGGAGATGAATTTTATTTTTTTGCGAAGAGGGACAGAAATATAATTAGGGAGCATCTTCTGGGTTCAAAATAATTTTACAAAATGACAAGAAGATGCATCACAATAGTGACTAACTGTATTTCATAACAATTTGCCATGCTGTAGTTATTAGATTATGTCACATGATCCCAGATAACCTATCGGTGTCTTGATCCACATTTGAATGGAGTTGCGTGTGCAGTATTTATCTTATTAAGTACCTTCTTTAACTATTTCCTAAACATACTACAAAATAACAATATTTAACTCAGCCAACAGTAGTGCACATGTCTAGGAATTTGAATATGGGTTTGGGAAATCCTGCAGCCCAGCTTTAATTTTCTTTTTTTTTCTTGAGGTCTGGGGGAATTCTCCCTTTGTCCTTTTCATTTCATAGGAATGAAAGCATGAAATCCCATAGGCTGAAATCTCTTCATGAATTGCTACAGTCACAGCCATAAAGGAACCTCCTTCAGAAATTGCCAGAAACTGAGGCGTATTAGTTGGAGACCTGAAAGCAGAGCACATAAATGTGTTCCTGCATTTGTCACAATAAAGTTCTATCATAAGCACCTAACAGCACGTATCTAAGTCTGTCCTTTCTTCAACAGAAATAAGAAACTATTGAAAAGCTTTTTGCTGCCTGTTATTTCAAAGGCAATTATAAATGATTGCAAGGAAGATGTCGATTCCTTTTTGAGAGAGTGGTATCCACTTTGAAAGAAACTATGTAGACTACTAGAAATGTAACCTGAAGCTAGATCATGTAGATACCGTAACTATGGAATAACTCATGTTCTGGTTATTGGTTGTTTAAAGATCTTTTCCCATTAGACTTCAGATCTGGTATTGTCATTCCGGAGAGAAGAACCGATTGAATGTGACTGTGTTAATTCTTCTCTACCCCTGAGCCCTATCAATACCATCAATCAGAATTAGAGGCATCATGAGGGTGGGGAGTGACAATAACACTGTTGTTTTGTCACCTTCACTCCTGTTGTAGTGTTTTGAGACATCTCACACAAGTGCAAAAGGACAAAGCACTCAGTGAGATGTTGCTTTCATAATTTTGATGAAATCCTGCAGATGCTTGTGATCATAATTTCTTCCTGGACTGGGTGTCTCAATCAAGTGTTAAATATATTGCATATATTCTGATCATATTGTATATCAACAATAGTCTGCTTCTTATGTGGAAACAATAACAATTGCTTTATTGGGAATTGGGAGGTATATAAATTTAATAAATAAATAATAAGATAAGTTATATGATAAGGGTTCTTTGGTAACCTTGCCATGTAATGTGATCAGCCATGTCTGACCCAGCAAAGGAAGGCGATGGATATGTGACATTCAGTTACAGTTGGTAATTGTTATGAGTTTTCTACTTCCATAAACACTTTAGACCAAGTTGTATAATTGTTTACTGAAAGTGCAGATGTTAGTAACTTACTCAAGAGCCTGTTTAGCAGCAGGAATGGATTGGTTTTCATTCAGTTACTTTACAGAATAACGCAAAATATTTAGCAGGCTTCTCTTTCTAGCCCATGATTATTTTCTATGGATCAGATTATTAATTTTGAAAGTCAAGTCACAGTTCCTTCTACACTGTAAGGGTTAATTGCTTGTGTGATGTAGTCTGGGGCGAGGAATTGTATCTAACTAGCATCACTATGTTAGAGCTAGGCAAACCATTCATGTTCCAAGGAAGATTGGCACATTTTTCTCCTGAGAGAGATTCTGTAGCTTTAATGACTATATTATGTGCTTTAGTTAAATAGGTATGATTTGCCTCAGTGGGAGAATAAGATGTTAAATTTGTAGACTTAAATATGCCTGCTGAGTAGATGTCAGCTCGGTGAGGGGCATTTAGACAGAAGCTTTTTTTAAAAAGCAAAATCAGTTTTGGCATAACGTTTTAAAGAGACAATAATTCTGGATTCCAGAGACTTCTTCTTCCTCAGGGAAAGCCACTGAAGAAAAGGAGATCAAATCCTGTTAAAACTCTAACAGTATAGGAAGTTAAAACAGAATATATATGTACTGGAGCAGAAGGCTTGTAATTGCCTAATTCGAGCCCCTTTCTAATACCTGGACTCAGCCTTGAAACAAGAGAAAAACAATCCTTTTTGTAAAGCTAACGTGATTTTCTTCTGCTGAAACCAATGAAAGGGGGAAAAATCAGTGCAGAGGAAAGGGGGGGGGGCAGAGATAGTGGAAAAAGAGAACTAATCTAACTGGGCTTAACAAAAGGATTTTGGTTTCTTCCTCTCCAGCTCACAGGGCTGGTCTGATTTTTATTCCTGCATGTGTTTGGAATAAATCTAACTGAATGCAGTGGGACTTACTATAGTGTATTATACTGTAAATACTTACAGGGTAAGTATTATAATGGAGGAATGCGTGGGGTTTCTTTTCCTCCTTAAAAAAACATTTTGGGCCAAAAACATTTGCAAATTACAATCACTTTGACATGGCATAAACATTGTTGTAGAATCCCCCAAATCTGACAGATTAGTTAAATCTTAAATCATTAATGATTTAGCTTGGATACATTTCCAAATTAAATCTACAGGGCTTTGGACCAACGATATGGATAACAGTGCATATCATCTAGTTTGTAGATAAAGCTGCTTGGAAATGGGTCCTATTGACTTCCATCATGCCTAGTTCTGAGAAAACCTGGAGAACTGCAGCCAGAAGTCTGCATTCAAATGTGATACTTTGTAGAATAAATAGCAATATTGCACTGAAGTAATCTGCATGGTGTTTTTCTTAAATAAAATATTTCCCTGTGAGCAGTGCTTTTTTTTTTGTCATAGAATGCACCGGAACGGAGTTCCAACACCTTTTTTTGATGGATTTTCCAAGTTTTAAAAGTAACTTTTGAAAATTTGATGTTTGGTCCATGTGGACTTGAATCGCCCTGTCGAGTGTAGCAAGTCGGAGGCAAAATCATTAAAACGGTGCATGAGGACTGCTTGTGTGTCAAGTCCGATGCATGCGTACTTTGTCCGCGTTGGTTGTGATGGCACTGCTCGGCTTGTGGCACTGCTCGGCTTGTGATTGGTCATGTGGTCGCATGCTGAGCGCTTACTGCGGGCAGCGACCATTATGTTTTGTTACACAACTGACGTGTGTGGGTATGTGTTCAGTGATTGACTACGTGTGACAGGTAAATAATTTCTTTATTTTAAAAAATAGTTGGTGAATTGAAAATCTTTTTTTTAATTTTTAGTGTAAAAGTGTGACCCCAAATTTAAAAATGAAAAAAATCACTAATTACTTCTCAACCACCGGTCCTGCTAAGAACTGAATATATAATTATTTTAATATAAGATTAACAAGATGTGAGTTCCGGCACCTTTTTTTTCTTACAAAAAAAGCACTGCCTGTGAGAACAACAATTCTTTTTATTTGTATTATGCATCCCTCTAAGGACCTCAAGGCTTCCTGTTAATCTACATTTCAGGAGCTGAAAAAAGCCCAGTGGGAGGGGTTTCCTCTGGATGCCTTCGCTTTCCTTGAAAGGTGGGTCTGTAGGTTACTGGTTTTATTATTTTACCCCTGTTTTGTTTACACTCCTTTCATTTTCTTCCTTTTTATTATTGTAAGCCATCTAGAGTAGCCCCACAGCAAGATAGGCAGAAAATAAATTTAACAAATAAATAAATATACTTTGTATTTTTGCCTTTGTTTACTGAATAGGTGGCTAAGGGCTCATTATTTTCCCCCGGTTGATTGACAATTGTACAACTACCAAATCCCTTCTCCCAAATCAAGTGTGCCTTGTACATGTTGTGTAACTTTTTAAAGTTGTGCCACTTAGTGTTGAATATCAAAAAACGGTTCCCTTGGAAATGCTGCATGAGTTTTGTATGTGGATATTTTTTGTTTTGAAAAACAAATTCAGAAATTGCACTATAAAATGTTTAGAAAAACAAACTGTATTGCCAAAAATTCTATGCAGACCACTCCGAAATTAGAGAATACTTTATGTCTATAGATAGAAGAGGAATACAAGTTATTCTCAAACACATCAATGCTG